CGTATCTAGATTGCCAAGAAAGCGCTAACCAAGCAGGCTTCCGACCCAGCCGGAGCACGACTGACCACTTGTTTACGACATCGATTTTGCAGGAGGTCACAGACGAATGGCAAATTCCAATGGTCAGCCGCCGTGGACTTCAAGCAAGCATTCGAGAGCATTACACATGAGCATGTGGGAGTCGCTGGCAGAACAGAGCACGCCCAGACCATACATAAATGTGTTGTCAAAACTCTATGAACAGCAGGCAGCATCAGTCCACTCAGACCGCCACAGCAGGCCGTTCAATATCTTACGAGGAAGGATACAGGGATACCCCCTTCGCTCCTTGCTTTTCAACTGTGTATCAGAGAGTATATTGAGACGCGCCAAAACGAATTGGGCGTCCAAGAACTACGGCTTCAAGCTGCCACTACACGCGGATGGCCGCCTCACCAATTTACGATTCGCGGATGACATTTGGCTTTTCGCTGGGTCACTCAACCACCTTGCAGACATGCTCACAGACTTGATCACGGAGGCGGGCAAGGCGGGCTTGGAATTGCACCCCGACAAAACAAATACCATGTGCAACGGCCACCGACCACGTGGCAAACGCGCCCCGGACTACGTGCACGTGCTCGGCATGAAGATCGAAGTTATACCGCCCTACCGCGGCGCGAAGTATCTAGGTTGGCAACTACAGAACAGCACGCTCCACGTTACGGAAATTGAAAACCGCGTCGCGACGGCATGGCGGAAGTTCCACGCACTCAAGGACGAGCTCACGGGGAGAAGGTACTCACGATCTGACCGGCTACGACTCTTCAACGGAACCATCACGCCGACGATTCTGTACGGGTGCGACGCTTGGACCCTCACGATTGAGCTAGGAAGCTGACTGCGGCGAACGCAAAGACAGATGCTTCGCATGTTCGTACGAGTGCTGAAACGCAGCACAGCATATGCAAACTCCCAGACGGCGCCACATCATACCCATACCAATGCTGACAACCGACAAGACAGCAGCCACCAGCACGACGAGCTTAAAGGGGCCGGGCAGTGCACCCCGCCCCGGGCGGTTCCCCCAGGATCCGCCCCGCGGTTCCTCCAGCTACGTCCCCTTAGCTTAGCGTTGCATATCTCATCTTAGCTTAGCTTATTTCATCTTAGCTTAGCTTAGCTTCATCTTAGCTCAGGTTTATCTTAGCTTAGTTTACCTTCATCTTAGCTCCGCTGAGCTGTAGCAGAGCACAGCATAGCATAGCGTAGCATAGCATAGCGCAGCACAGCATATCATAGCATAGCCCAGCATAGCATAGCATAGCGCAGCATAGCATAGCATAGCATAGCGCAGCACAGCACAGCACAGCATTGCACAGCGCAGCATAGCATAGCATAGCAGAGCATAGCATAGCATATCATAGCCTAGCGCAGCTTAGCATAGCATAGCATGGCATAGCTTAGCATAGCACAGCGCAACATGACATAGCATTGCATAGTATAGCATAGCATGCCATAGCGCAGCATGGCATAGCATAGCATAGCATAGCGCAGCATAGCATGGCATAGCATATCATATCATAGCGCAGCATACCATAGCATAGCATAGCATAGCATAGCATAGCGCAGCATAGCATGGCATAGCATAGCATATCATAGCAACTAATGCTGCTTTCCAGGGGCTCCAACTTCTAGGTAGGGTCGCACTGGGGTAATTGATTGTTGGCTCCACCATTCCGGCGTCCAGCTTCGCCGCTGCCTGGCCAACCTCCAGCTTCCAGTTCCTTACTCCCACCATCCACCATCAGCAATCGTTCACCAATCTCCCACCTCGAACTTTCGACCTCCACCTTTCGAGTTTCCACCTCGCACAACCGACCTCCACCTTCCAAGTTCCGACTCCCACCATCATCCATCAGTTGTCGACTCCCAATCTTTCAAATCCAGTTTTCGACCTCCACCTGTCGACTTCCCACCCCACCCGACCGACTTCCAGCTTGCAACTTCCGGCTTCCACCGTCCACCAACCGATGTCGATTCCCAATCTTCCACGTCCAATTTTCAAGTTCCGCCTATCGACTTCACACCTCACTTGACTGACCTCTCGCTGCAAGTTCCGACTCCCACCACCCACCAGCAGCTTTCGATTCATATTCTCCCACATCCAGCTTTCGACCTCCACCTATCGACTTCCCACCCTGCCTGACCAGCATCCAGCTTCCAACTTCTGACTTCCGCCATCCACCAACAGCTGATGACATCCAAGGTCACATTTCCAGCTTTCGGCCTTCAGCTTTCACCTTTCCACCTCATGTGGCCGACCTCCAGCTTCCAACTCCCGACTCCCACCATGCACCAACCGCTGTCGATTCCCAATCTTCCACCTCCAGCCTTCGACCTCCACCTATCGACTTCCCACCTCCCGCTACTGGCATCCAGCTTCCAACTTCCGACTCCCACTATCCACCCACAGCTGCCGACTCTCAAATTTTCCACCTCCAGCTTTCGACCTCCACCTGTCGACTTCCACCTCACTGACCGACATTCAGCGTCCAACTTCCGACTCCCACCATCCACCGACAGCTGACAACATCCAATCTTCCACCTCCAGCTTTCGACCTCCACCTATCGACCTCTCGCATCGTGCGGCCGACCCGCAGCCTTCAGCTTCAGACTCACAGCAATCACCGCCAGTTATCATCATCCAGGCTTCCACCTCCAGTTTTCGACTTCATCCTCAAGGGCATGATCTCCAGCTTCACGGGCAACACCTGATCCGGCGCTCCTGGCGCCGCACCCGCAGCACCTTAGACGGTGCCCGTGTGCGGGCGTGTTTCGTGCTTCGTGCTCCTGGCCCCCCCCCGTGGGTCGCTCACGTGCCTCGGACCATGATTTACGAACCCCCCTCTTGGATGCCCCTGAGCTTCACTGATCTCGCAGCAGCCGCTGGCGGTCTTGGACGGCATCCGTTGTCGGGTATCGCCCCTGTTTGAGCATCGGAAGATACGTAAGGGAGTCGACTGCGCGGGCATTCGCGCGTAAACTTCCCGCGTAAGGTCGCGCGTAAGCGCCTTCTTCTCCACGAGGTGTGCCGCGCTGGAGGCCAGGGTAAGCCGCGGCGTAAGGTCTCTATGCCATCGTGCGTGAGACCCGTTTCGTTTTGTGGTTTCGAAACCCACATTCGTCGCCTTCTTGGCACATTCAGACCTTCCAGGTATCACGTGCCATTTTTGGAGTTGTTCCGAGGGAGAACTCCGCAATTCTCATAATGCCGACGAGGAGAAGTGATTTATTTCAAAAACGTTAGCTTCTCCGCTCAACTGTTCCGTCCCCATTTCGGGCGGACCATTGCTTTCCCTCCTCCTCCCGCTCCCCTTCTCCCTCCTTCTCCCCCTCCTCCCTCCTGCTCCACCTTCTCCTCCTCCTCCTCCTCCTCCTCCTCCTCCTCCTCCTCCTCCTCCTCATCATCATCATCATCATTACCAGCATCAGCATCAGCATCAGCATCAGCATCAGCATCATCCTCAGCATCATCGTCATCATCATCACAATCACCATCACCCGCACCATGTTATCATCATCATCCTCATCATCAGCATCATCATCATCCATCCACTTCACCTCCACCTCCACCTCCACCTCCACCTCCACCCCTCCACCTCCACCTCCTCTTCCTCCTTATCCTCCACCTTCCTCCTCCTTCTCTTCCTCCTTCTTCTCTTCCTCCTCCTCCTCCTCCTGGGCGGTGCATCCGCGGCTGGGGGGACAGTTAGATACCTTTCTGCGCTGGCGTATGCTTACGAGCGCGGGAGGCCAAGACGCTCTGGCCGCAATTAGTTGGATCGACGTGTTTTTTTAACCAGCTGTCGAACGACGGTCATCGCTCTACGGACGAGCACGCGCCAACTTGTTGCCCAAGGGGTGGCGCTTCGCCCTACTGTGAAGGTTGCTTTCCACTGTCACCCGCAGGCCAGCGATCAGTCCCGCTGGGGAGCCGCCTAACCGTCACCCCTAGAGTGGCGATGATCCGCACTGCTGTGGAGCAGGTTCCTCGGTCACCCGAAGGCCGGCGATCAGTCCTGCTTGGGAGCCAACCAATTGTCATCCCTAGAGTGGCGATGAGACCGCGTTGGAGCAGGGCCCCCTTGTCACCCGTCATGTGGAAACGTGCCCAGCTGCGGACTGGTTTCCCCAGGAAGCCGCCAGGGTGGCGGTCGGCGATCTTGTGGGACAGGTCCCTCTTGTCACCCCACAACGGAGACATCGGCGGCAGTGGAGGGGGTCCGCCCCGTCCACCCTTGGGGGGGGCGACCCAGCCTGCCTGAGAGCTGCCTACCCGTGTCACCCCTGGGGTGGCGATCCGACCTGCGATGGCGCAGGTCCCCCCTTTGTCACCCCGATGTTGCGTCCCAGCCTGCTGCAGAGCAGATCTCCATGCTGCCCTCATGCGGAGCGGGTCCCCCCCGTCACCGCCAGGGTGGCGATCCTCCCTGCGGTGTATGTAGCAGGCGCACATGTCCCAACTAAGGTAGCAAGCCGTCCTGCCTGGTTGCCCCCCGGTGAGCTGCCCTGGGCCCCCTATACAAGGTTGGGAAGCCAGCGTCTGACGCTATTCTGGGGGATGCCAGCCCATCCTCTGATCAGATGGTGAGACACGCATCATGACTCATCACTTGTACGGTGGGTGTCGATAGGGGCTATCGTGAAGCCCCCCCGCCAAACCTAGTGTGTCGAACAGAGGTGGCTGCCTCGGGGTATGCTGGCCACGCATATCATGCACCAACACCAGGTGCCAACAACAGTCCCTGCACAGGCTCTGGGACCAGAAGGTTTGTTTTTCATTCTTCACGAGCACCTCCACAGTCTTATGTATGGCTACCTTCAAGGGCATTAGCACTGCACTGCAATCCTCCTCCTCTTCTCGCTCGTCCTCGTCCTCGTCCTCCTCCGCCCTACCTCCCCCCTCTTCTCCTCCCCTCCCCCCTTCCCCCTCTGGGCTTCTCCTGGGGCTGGGCGAGGCCTGCCGATCAGCAAGGACGTCGACGAGCTGAAGAGAGGCGCGTCCGCCGCCCTCTTCGCACGGGAGGAGGGCGAGACGGAGGAGGATGAGGACCCAGACCCCTTCTCGTCGAGGAAAAATCGGGACGGACGGTGTCTGCTGTGTTTTACCTTTTGGGGCCCTCGCCGGGCCCAGGGGACCTTCAAGAAACGACTCGAGATGAATAGCGTTTCCTGGGAATGGTTCGAGAGTTCTTGGGGTCGACGTTGTGAACAGCGCATGACGTCGGGGGTCTGGGGAGGAGGAGTAGGAGGAGGAGACGGACCAGTGTAAACCCAATACGCATCAACGATGTTGCAATACGTCTTCCTCCGAGCTTCATCGGTCCCTAAACGAATTGATTTTCACTACGGGAAGTGCCCAATTGGAAGACAGCCGATTGAGAATTGTCAGTCCCACCAAAACACCGTTCTTGGGACTTCGACACCGCGAATCAACGCTATTGTTGCGTCCTCACAGTCCTGCGTCGCGCCAGAACACCCTTCCTGGGACTTCGGCCACAGGAACCCTTGAACTGGTGCAAGCTCGTAAGAAGAATGTGCGCGGCGCTGGGTCGAGAGCCACATTTTGCAAAGTAACCGCCCCTCATCCTTGAAACTGTTGCAAAGTTTTGAAACGAATGTGCGCGGCGCCGTGGCGAGAGTCACAGTTTGAAAACCAGCTACCCTCAAGCTGTGAAACCGTTAGAAGCTTTTCGAACGAATGTGCGCGGCGCGAGTGCGAGAGCCACATTTTTTTAAGACGACCCGCCCTCCATCCGTGAAACTGTCGCAGATCTCAAAGTTTCAGAGTCATAAATGGCAAGGGGGCTCAGCCAGAGCGCCGTACAGTAGGGGCCCATGCCAAAGAAACACCTTGCTTGCCTCTAGGGTGCCCTGGGTTTCTTGGGTGTCGATGGTTTTGCTATGGAAAGCGTGACGTTCCCACACCAAACATCCATGGACGTCCTGGGGTCTCAGGGTTGGGCCTTTTGTGGAAGGTTTCTTGTGGATCAGCCTGCACTGAATCGTGCAGGATCCTTCGGAGATTGATAGACCTCTTACCCTGACACGTCGATTAAGGAATTTGCCGTTTTCGGTTCGCGAGAGGGCGTCGCGGCCGTCTTTTTCGCGGGTCCGGGTCCGTCGGTTTCGGTCCTGGGCCGTTCTCACTCAGGGGAGGCTTACCTGAAGGGAGGCTCGTCCACCGCCTAGTCCCGCAGAGCTGGATGTTGGCCGAGCCCGGCTTGGGAGCCGCTCGCGCGGCCCTGGGGGTAGCCTCGCACGTGGACTGCGCCAGGTGCGGGAGCCGCTCGCGGCCATGGAGGTGAACCTACCCTCAAGTCGGGCCTGTCCCTCAACAGGGGGGACATTCAAACACAGTCCAAACATACTCTTCTGACATGTTGTTTACTATGCTTGAATATGTTTTGAGAAATTTTTGGATATTTCTTATTTTTCGTCCAGAATCCGCCTCTAGGGGGACACGTCCGACCTAAACCTACCTACTCGCTGTGCGTTTTGCTTCCCTTCTCTCGTCTCCAATCGTAACGGGAGCTCCCGCGGCGGAAGACCTCGCAGGACGAGCCCTTCTGTGACAGAGGGGGTCCATCTTCTGGCCCCCTCTGTCACAGGAGGGGGGCAGACTATGCATGGCCACTCAAGTACTGCTCTTGGATTACCCCTAACAGGTTGCAGCGCAGTGGGTAAGGAGGAGTAAGAATGAAGGGGAGGACAAGAATGAGGCTCTTTTGATCCCTTGCGTACCTTCCTTCTCTCACGCCGCCTCCTTCCTCCCTTGCCTCGTCCTCCCTGCCCCTTTTGTCTTTGGTTGTTGACCTTCTCCGCCGCTCACTTCCACCTATGATCTACAGTCAACCCGCATAGTAAGGATGAGTCACTTTCCAAGGTTAACCCATCCTTCCCCTTCGGCCCATCCGTGGCCGCTTTCGCCGGCCGCGCCCCGCTCGCAAAGTACCGACATGGCCTTCCAAGACCCTTGCATCCTTACCGTGCGTCCTTATTATACGGGTTGACTGTATCGTTATTCCTCCCCTGCTTGCTTGCTCCCTTCGCCTTCCACCTCCCCGCCTTCCTTTCCACATCTGCTTTTTCATAATTCCCCTCGCCCCTCCGCCTCCTCTCCCTTCCCTCCTCCCCCTTTCTCTCTTCCCTCGTCCACCCTCCCCCCTTGATGCGAGGAGAGGGGCAGCACTGCTTCTCTTGACTGCGGGTGCATCGCCGTATGGGCTGCCGGGCAGATGGGGAAAGGAGTGTCTCAGGCGAGGTGGACATTGTGGACAGCAGCAGCTCAGGAAGTTAGCTGGCTGGCAAGAGGCCAGCCTCCAGGTACGTTTTCATAGTGTGTGAGCAGCAGCTGCATGACAAGAGCGTTCAAGCAGAACTGTATCAGTTTTTCATGTCATGGACAAGAGGTGGATAACTACTTCTCCTCCTCCTCCTCCTCCTCCTCATGGTCCTCCTCGTCCTCTTCCCCTTCCTCCTCCTCCTTCTCCTCCTCCTCGTCGTCGTCCTCCTCATCCTCATATTCCTTATACTCCTCCTCTCCCTCCTCCTCCTCCTCCTCCTCCTCCTCCTCCTCCTCCTCCTCCTCCTCCTCCTCCTCCTCCTCCCACTGCCTCGTGGTCCATCCGCGTCCCTACCCTTCCCCCCCCCTCCTCCTCGTCGCCCTCCTCCGCCTGCCGCCACGCACTCTTCGGTTCTCCTCCTCCTCCTCCAACTCCTCCCCCTCCTCCTCCTTCTCCTCCTCTCCTCCTCATTCTCTCCCTCCTTCACCTCCTCCTCATCATCATCCTCATCCTCCTTTTTCCATTCCTCCTCCTCCTCCTCCTCCTCCGCGCCAGGTTCTCCATTGACGTTCGAGGCCACGATGCTGGAGGCCATGATCGTGGAGAAGGAGGAGGAGGAGGGAGGAACGGAGGAGGAGGAGAGGAGGGGCAGGGGTAGGGAGGAAGGAGGCGGAGAGGAGGAGGAGGGGGAGGAGGAGGAGGAGGAGAGGAGGAGGACGGAAGGAGGAGGGAGGGAGGAGGAAGGAGGAGGAAGGAGGAGGAGGAGGATGGATGAGCAGGAGGAGGACGAAATGGACGGATTGATCAGGAGGAGGAGGAGGAGGAGGAGGCGGAGGAGCAGCAGGAATCCGAATAATAATAATAAGAATAGTAATAATAATACTAATAATAATAATAGAAGATAATAATAATAATACTAATAATATTTTTAATAATATTATTAATAATAATAATAATATAATAATAATAATGATAATAATAATAACAATAATAATAATAATACTAATAAGACGAAACCGCAGAAGAAACATGAGGGGACGACGCCTGACCATATTACTAGCACGAATAAGAAACTGATGCTGAGGAGGACGATGAGGAGGCGAAGAGGAGGAGGAGGAGGAGGAGGAGGCGGAGGAGGAAGAGGAGGAGGAGGAGGAGGA